CTCGATCTCAGATTTTTAAACTGATAATCGAGTATCAGATGTAAAAAAGTAACGCTTTTGATATCGATTCTCAAAATAGCAAGCCTAATAGCAATTCATATATTTAAAATCATTAATAACCTTTACTTTTTGTACATACAACAGTATACAATATTATTGAATAAAAGACAATTTTTTTAAAAAAGAAAAATCCAGAATATTTACTCAAAATGAAAACTGGTTTAAAATTGATACTTCAATATAAAAAATAACTAATATAGCAAGAATATCTATTTAAGAATAAATGAATGCTCGAGATATAATACGATTGTCAGATATTTAATGTTATTTTCGTTAGGCAAATATTTGTTTTTTTGCGATATTTAAAAAGGAACTGTGTGAAAATGCATCGTTGAATAGAAAACAAAATTAATATTTCGTATTTAAATAAGATAATCAATCAAGTTTTGAATAAAATTTGAATTGATCAGTATTGATAGCGGACTGGCGTGTTTGGTGTGTTTGGCGGCGGATCTCCACCGATGAAAACGGCACTCATACAATCGCCTGCAACACAGAATGTGGCACCGCCTGTGATCGTCGTCTCTGTTGGCGAATAAACGCTTTCGCTTGGGCCACTGCTGAGGAGGAGTTCGCCATAACTGTTGTATCCACAGGCGAGGACTCTGCCTTCACGCGTCTCGAAAAGTGAATGAAAACTTCCGGCGTAGGCTGCCCTGATTTCGTGGCCAGAAAGTGACGAAATCTCTGTGAACGAGGGAACTTCTCTTCTTCCTTGCTCAAAGCCGAGCTGGCCATCACTGTTTGATCCACGCCCAAAGACTCGGCCTTCACTGCTGACTGCCAGGCAGTGATTGCACGAGCCAGACAGCCAGACGACTTTTTCGCCTGACAGTTCTGAAACCTCTGAAAATTTGAGGACGCAGCTTCCTGATTCGACGTCTGACGCGAAGACCCGCCCGCTCCAGCTCAGCGCAAAAACTGAATTGTCGAGGCAGGCAACCATCATCGCCTTCTCGCCGCCAGGAAGAGAAACAGCATCGATGCGCGACGATGGCGATTTTGTGACTGATTCACGGTTGATGAAGATGACTTCACCGTCGGTGCAGATCGCTGCTGCATGATAAAAACCGCCGAAAAGTGACACTGGTTCGTGGCTGCCGATGTCAAGAAAAACTGGGGTGCCTCTTTTTATTCCATAATCGCAGAAGACGGGCTGCCTCCCGCTGCCACAACTTTTTGTGAACATGTAGAGAGTGCCCCAATGAGTGCAGACAGCGGAGACAGGCGCCAGCGGACAACCGCTGCTGTCATTCATCGAAAATTCTTTAAATCGGCTGATGCCTGTCTTCTCGAGCGAGCCGCTGATTCGGCCGTCGCTGTTGTAGCCAACTCCGATCAGAGAGCCGGAACGAGTGACAGAAACCGAGTGCTTGCTGCAAGCCGAGTAAGACAGGAGCGAAGACGGATCCAGCTGCAAATTCTGAGGAGGGTGGATGACTGCTTCATCATGCTTGTTTTTGCTGGGGTTTTCGCCAATATGACGGTATTCATCATATCCGCCAACGACGATATTTTCTGCGTATCGCTGAATGTGACGATAGAAACCGTTTCCTTCTCTTTCGTTTGACTTGGACGATTTTTGCAGTGGCTCTTTCATGCTGAAGCAGAAGCACTTCCTGATTTTGTTCCAGAGTGGGACTGTCATTTCATTTGGATTGAATTTGTCAATGAACTCTTTCAATTTAGATTCACTCAAAAAGTCAAAATTGACCTCTTCATAGAAATAAATGTCACTCAAACCGTCATCAATTGAAAATTCGCACTTTTCTTCTTCTTTTTCTTCTTCTGCTTTTTTGCTCGTGAATTTGTCAATCAGGTCAAGCAGCCAGTCCTCGCTTTCAATCGTCAGTTTGACATTCGTCAAAATTGAATAAAAAACGGTCCTCGGAAGGTCAATTATTTGGTCTATATCAATCGAATACAAATTTGACGCAATGTCTTCAATAGTTTTACTCTGGCACCACATTTCTGCTGAATCTGAATTCGTTTCAAGAAATGAATCAAAATCGTGTTTGCCGATCGTTTTTTTCTCAAAATTTTCTTCTTCGTCATCTTCAGCAAAAAGTTCGTCAAGTTTCATGAACATTTCTTTGTTTTTCAAAAGAATTGAGATAATCTTCATTTGAAAACATTCTTCTTTGTCGATATCAATAGTGTTACCTTTACTGATCGATTCAAAAAGAGAAAAGACTTCGTCGCTTATTTTAATTAAAGAGTTATTGACACAAAAATGAATGGAAGTAATTGTTGGATCTGATTGATGAATTTGTGAAACTTTTGGAGAAATAAATTCAGCAAAGAGAGTTTTCATTTGGACCTCGTGCTCTCCAAAAATAAATTTAAAGTCTTCTCCATAACTTTGATTTTGGACTAGATTCTTTAATCCTGCTGATGATAATATGAACGATTTCTTGCTCATAATAATTGATAAATTTATGCCATATTTTTATCTCATTCAATTTTTTATCGAAGAATGTAATTCTCACAAAATATAATCGTTTTATTTAAAACCTTACACAATTTTTTTTTGTTTAAAAAAAACAAATTTCTCAATAAAATTTTTATATTACATGATTTATTTTATGAATATGTATTTGTCATTATTAATCCAATTTTTTTTTTCTAAAATTCATTTTGAAAATATGAAAGGAGTCCGTCGAAATTGATCGAATTTAAAGATCTGGAGTTATCCTTTCGGCAGTTTTGTAAAATAGGTCTATTTTGTCGTTAATTGAATAGTTTATTTTACAAAACTTCTACGGCACACCGCAAAAGTACAATTCCTTAATACATTACATGAAATAATCTTCAAGTACGGCATATGGCGAAAAGGTATAGATCTGGAGAAACAATGGATAAAATACATCAAAGTTTTAATTATTATTATTATTTTTTTTTATAAAACAATTTTATAACATAATTAATTTTTTTTTCATTTCTTTATCTGTGCATTGAATTCTTCAATTTGTGAATTTAATTCTTGAATCTCTTTCTCCTTTTTATCTATTTCTGACAAAAAAGCATCGATTTCTTTCTCAACGCTTCCCAGTATATTCCTTCTATTCTCGATTTCTCCAACGACCAAAACAAGCTTGTCATCTTCGTATTCCAGTGTTTCCACGTTATGAACGAGTGCATTCAATTCTGACTTTAAAGTCAGAGTCGCGTCGAATGATGAATTCAATTTTTTCCTAATTTCTTCTTTTTCTTTATTCAATGTATCAATTTTCTTCCTCATGTCTTCAGGTCTGTTGTTCTGCACTCTCTTAGGCGTGTAATTCGGCATTCGTGACAGAGAATGGATGAGGGACAAGTTGTTAAAAACGGCCTGACTTTCATTGTCGGGAATCAAATCATCAGGTGAATCAATGTTGTAAAGCTTGAAGTTATACTTGCATGAAATTCTCACAGAGCATTCCTCATCGAAGTCGCATTTCACACAACGATGGATACAGATTGTGAGCATCTCTTTGTTGCCGTCCAAAAGGTGCTTGTAACCGTCGATTGGTTTTTTGCTCGCAAACATTTCACACGTACTTTGAAGCAAGATTTCACGTGACAATTTCAAGCCGATTGACTTAGCGAGAAGAAGGATATAAACTGAAGGGTCTTTCTCAATTAAATCAGCACCACTCTGTAAATATGATCGTCTTTCTATCAAAAAGTAAACAGTCACTTTTTCATTATCAGGGACATCGTCAGTTATTTGGAAGACGAAGTTTGGAAGCTCCTCAAGTTTGGCATCTAAAGGTATACGACCGTCACTTTCAGAGATCCACAATTCAGTGGTGAAACTTTTTGAATGCCAACCTTGAGGAATTGGCCTTGACACTTCAATGTCAGTGAAATAACGGTTATAATCGTTTTCAATCATCCAAAATGTGCCTTCTTCAATTTTACCTTGAATGTTTAGTCCTTCTTTTATCTCATCAGTCCACAATGGTGAATTATTTGACCAGTCGCCTTTCCATCCTGAAATGCGCCAAGGATTCCTCAAGCAAAGAAACCTCATTCCTTTGTACTCAAGCGCTTTCTCAATCAGATACGAATGTTTCTCATGCAGGCCAACTTTCTGCAGTTCTTCTTCCGTCACTTTCAACTTTTTCAAAATGATGTATGTGTCCATAACCGCTCCTTGTTTTAAATACTTTACAATTTTTTCAAAGGGAGTTTTCGTCTTCATTTCACACAAGGATAAATTGTGCTGCTCATATCCAAACAAGTGGTAATTCACATTGGAAAACGGGATGCCAATGATGCTCGAATACGATCCTTGAAGTTTCGCATAGGCCTTCTCAACAAGGCAGAACCAGGGTGACACTTTTCTATCGACGGGACGTGAAAAAATGGGCAACAATGAATTCTTGTGAAATGGAATAAGTGTGTCAATTAAAACTGGAGTCTCTCGACCAAATGCATGGAAAAAAATTACAACGGCTCCGCATTCAATATTGATTGAATTCGTAATTGGCCCGAGAATTGAATCAGCTGTGTGGTCAAAAAGATCTTGAACTAAAATGGGATCTCTGGCAACTCGTGATATGGCTGATATGAATGAACAGTTTCCTAGCGCGCCTTGCTGAACATAATTAATATTGATGAGGTCTTCTTCAAAAAGTGGTGCTCTATATATGTCATCTATCCTTATCCATTCAATTCCAGAATCATCAAGAGGAATCCAGCTCTCATGAACTCTCCTTTGTGGATGAAAATTTAAATCGTAGAATTTTTCTTTGGTATTCTTGTAGTTCAAGAGGATTTTTTGATATTTTTCGTATTCAGTCATAAAATCGGTATAGCTTTTACATTGCATTCCTAAATTTTCTTTGCAAAATAAAATTTTAAATTTAACAGAAAAAACATGACAATGAAAATTTTCATTTAAAAAGTTTCACATAATTCTTTTCATATCACATATCAATAAAAAAAGCAAAAAATGGGCAAGCCGTGAATCGAACACGGACCTATTGAGTCACAGTCAATAATGCTAAACCATTACAATACTTACCCTTATGCAATTTATTTATTTTTTGATTTTATTCATTTTTTTTAAATCAATTACCAAATAATAATAAATATCATGTTATCAGAAATCAAAGGGCACTGTTGTGGAATTCCAATTATTATAGCAAAAAGAAAAATATCTATTCAAATTATTTGAAAGGAAAAAAAAAAGAGTTGATATTTCAAATAAAGGAAGGATTCAAGAATTTGAATATTGGAATGCTGAACAGACCAAATTAATTAATTTTTCCAGCATTCAACCTAGAAATTATATGCGGATTTGATCATGAAGATTAAGTTGAAGATTTAAAGAATTGATTTTTTATACTAATTATAATAGATATTTTCTTAATTAGGCAATGACCATATTTAGAAAAAATTGATTACAATTGCTAACTGTCAACAAAATCATCGGGCAATTTCATTTTTTAAGAAAGTTAAATTTTTTGACTAATTTTCATTAAATTGACTTGTTAGGTTCCAGAGGCAAAAAATAAAATCCCTTTTTACACCCCATTACTACAGCTTTCTTTGACCTCCTTTTTTCCTAAAAATTATTGAATATAAAATTGAATGATCATTAACTTTTTGAAAAAAAAGTTCAGAATTCTCGAAAATTTTTTTTATTCAGAAATTTTATTTTTTCTTTGGGTAGTTTTCTTGCTTAATTTTATTTGCAAGATCTATATTTTTATGAGTAAGGAACAAATATAAATATTTGCAGTTATTTTTGTAATATAAACTCAAACTCCTATTCTCATTTCTGGAGACTTTTTTCATGCCAGGGTTGATACCTTTACTATTGAGAAACTCTACAAATGAATTATGGTATTGAAATATGCATTTTTTTGAGACTTTATTATAGCCAAATAATTGATAATAATGCTGATCTAATTTGTGACATTCATTACTTAAATTTGCATTGCGTGTTCCTTCAAAATGACCGGAAACTTGATATCCATGTCTAGAATGAAGGATAATGAAATCAAAAACTTCATTCCCTGTTTTTTTGCAAGGATAAGAGCTTGAACCATTATTACTCGGCATATAGGTCCCACAAATTTTGGAATTTTGAGAATTTGGTGTCATATTTAAATAAAAAATTTTGGTGATAAGAGGAGCTTCACCTGAAATTTGACCAAATTGTGTACTAAGCGAATTTTGCAGTTGATTTGAATAGGATGTGCCTGAAATAAGACGAGTTTCACCTGAAAATTGATCAGATTGTTCATTCATGGAAGCCATTCTTTTTATTATACCTGAATCAGAAAGTTGCATTGCTTGCTGTGAATAATTTGAATTCCCCATTTGAGCAGTTTCCTCTGTAAGTTGTTGAAATTCTATGCTATTTGAAGATGTGGAAGTTTGATCTATTTTGGCATCTGATGTTTGCTTAGGAGTTTCAAATCCATAGTTTTCTTTAAAATATTCTTCATCCAAATATAAATCTAGATTATCTGATTCATTGAAATTATCTTGCTGTAATTCTAGAAAATCAATGAAATCTTCATCTTGAGATGTCATGACAAAAGAAAAAAAAGAATGAAATATACCACACACAAAAAAACATGTCATTCAAAAATTCAATCTATTCACAATAAAAAAAAACATGTCATTCAAAAATTCAAAAAAAAACGGTTTACAATTTTTTAAGGGAATAAAAATTGAGTATTAACAAAATACCTCTTATCTTTTATACTATATTTGATGACCAGCAATTATTATTCAGATCACAAATAATAATTTTATTGAACTATTTCTTTTTATTTTCTGTTCTATTGATATCTAAATATTTAGATATCAATCATTGAAAATAAAATTGGAGTTTGCTCTGATAGAAAGCATTTAATTTGCGCATAAAACTATATTCATTTTTTGTTTATTAGTCCAGCTTTTGCCCCATAAAGTCATGTGAATAACATCATTTAAAAATCTTTTGAAACTCAATATTCATTCCATTGGCTTTGCTTATTTGAATTAGCGTTATTAGTATAGTTTTATTTATTAAGATTACATTTATATTTCAAGAATATAATTTTTATATATATATATATTTTGTTTAATTACTATTTTTTTCCCGACAAAATTAAAAATATTTCGGTTATTATCATGTAAAAACATATGATTATATTATTTAATGTTTTTATTTTGAAACATATTAAAAATACCATGAGATATTATATCAATACATTTTTTTTTTTTTTTTTTTTTTTGAATAGTTTATTGAGCAATAAACCAAAATTCTGACTGAAAAAGTGAATGAAAACTGATAATTTACAGAAGTATGTGAGCAATGCTATACCTCAAATTTCTTTAATATTATAAATATAATTATATTTGTGTATAAAAGTTAATTTTTAATATTAATGAATAAAAGCTAGGTTTGACTGTCCTCCTTTCACTTTTTCTAAAAAAAAAAAAACGTTATCTTTGTCAGTTAAAAAAAGGGCAGAGTCAGATTTCCTAATTATTATGACTCTTTTTGCTATAAAACTCTAGTAATTTCTGAAATGGAATCAAATTCTAAAAATGCAAAATATTTTTTTTTTTTTGACTTCAATCTATACGATATTATAATCAAAATTGAGTAACAGGAATTTCAATTAATCATATAAATTTAATTAATTCTGATCAACATAAACAATGAATAGATATGAAAAAAGTAATTATCAATGTGTATGCATTAATTGGATTGTGAAATTTTTGGCAATTATTTAGTTATCATCTTCTTTTCAAAAAGAGAAATGATAAAGGATCTGATACTATCGTTATGAATGCTGCACCAAATTATCCTGATCTAAGCCTATCTAAAACATATGGAATAGAATATGAAGACTAGATTTCAAATATAAAATCCGAAACAGAAAACATCAGTTGTGATAGAAAAATACTTGTCTGTTGGGATGAAAAGTTTTTTGAGTATGGAAGAAGGAAAAGTAGAGCAACTGAAGTCATTACAAATTGGCATCAAAAAAAATATAAAACATTCCTCTGATCAATGGAAATACAATTGTATTGTGTATAATGATGAAGAAATATTAAGTAGTTTTATAACTTTGTTGATTATTTTACTAATTATTATTAAAAAATGATTAAAATTTTATAATTTTATAACGAATCAGGATTATCGGTTAAGATCCTATGAGTGACAACGCATCTTGGATTTGCCATAGATCTTAGAAGGCGCTTTAAAGCATCTCGATCATATCTTATCCCAGAAGATGCGACAACTGTATTTGCAGGATCAAGCGGAATGCCCGAAATTGGACATCTTTGATGAATAGCGACATAATTTTCACGAAGAACATGATAATTTTGATCATCACTGATCGGTGTACTTGATAGATAATCATTGTAATCATCTTTTGCATTCCGAACACTATCTCTAATTCTTTGATTGAATTCGTGGTGGTCATTTGATTGATTATAAAGAGTGAGCTTCGCAATATCAATTGGATCTTGGTAATTTGGCAGAATCAAAAGTGCTTTTATATTTGCAATCAACTCCATAACATGAGTTGTTGATGAATAGTCCGAACCAAGAGTGTTCATGCAGATTCTTCCTTCGTTTGAAATATTAATGTGAAATGGAACAGTGATAAAGCGAAAAGTCGGTGGCGATAAAGGATAATTCTCTGGAAATTCTGCAAACAAATCCCACCATTTGTTACTATAAGGTGTCCCTTCTGGTCCTTTAATATATATTCTCCATCTATCAGCCAGGTTTTCAACTGGATAAACTTTGACATCTTGATCTTCCCAACGATATGCAATTCGTAGTTCTTTGGCAATTCTTCTAAGTCTATCTTGCGATGTTCCGTCAAGATCTCTGATAGCAATTCTTGTTGTCATTAACGGCTGTCTTGATCTAGCTTGCATGATAATTCTATTTTTTGGTTCTGTATCTAATACAAGAGAGTCTCTTAGTGATTCGAAAAATTCTCTCGTAATTTCACCAGTGTATGGTTGTGGCTTTTCTCTATAAGAAATGGAAAGAAGAGCTTCTTTTTCAAAAAGAGCTATTCCTTCTGCAGTATTAGATGGACGAAATGCCATTCCTCCAGTTAATTGAGCTAAAACGCAAACATCTTTACTTTCAGACACAGTGGAGACAATAACAACATCAACAATAATATTATTCTCAATCAAATAAGGGAGAACATCATATTGGCTCATATTGCTGTATTCATCTACACCATCTGTCAAAACAAGTATTCTTAATTTTGCATTTTGGAATTTATTGTTATGAGTAACGGGATCAATTTGTTTGGCGACGAGCATTTCTGCAGCTTTTTTGATTGCAGGCCACAATAAAGTGCATCCATCTGGTCGAGTGTTCATGACACTTTGTTCGAAGTCAGGAATTAATGGAGATAAAGGTGATTTAACGACTACTTTTGATGCAAAAGAAATCAAACCTTGAAGTGATGAAATTCTGTACCCAAATGACTTTGAAGCCCATGATGTTAGATATTGTTTTGCTAATGAATCTCTTGATACGCCATCACGACCATCATAAGGCTTTTCCATTGAAAGACTTTGATCAATTAAAACCATTGTCATTTGCTGAACACTTTCTTCATCAATCAATTCTACTGTTTCTTGGTTATCATCCCTTACTTGTACTGTTCTAGCAAATTCTTCAATATCTACATGTGATGTTTCTCCATTTTCAGGATTAATCAAGTCAACTTTTGAGGCTGCTTCACGTTCTTTTGAATCAGATACTTCCATTGGAAAGACTCTATAAGTGCCACGAGGACCATAAACAATTGATGATACGTGCACTTGAAGGAGTGATAATGGCTTGACTGGCTTGAAATACTTTTTTTCTGACCATGCAGTTTGCAAATATCTTTGAGTAAAAGGTTGAACATTTGTTTTTGGGAAATCTCTTACTTCAAAATCTGGAATCCAAAGAACAAGAATTGTTATTCTTCTTTGAGACATGAAATGTCGAATACGGTTAAGCATAAGATCGTTTAATTGACTGTTATTTGAATGAT